AAGTATTAGTCCGGCCTGTAATCCAGTCATGGATCCGTCCATGTTGACAATTCCTGTAAGGTGCTTATAAATAATTTTCATGTACAAGGGAAATTGTCCTTTTATGGCTTTGACAACAGTTTGTGGATCTTGAGTAGGTGAATGATTCGATTCGTATCTATTAACGGTTTTTTTTTTCCTTTCATGCAGAAATTAGGAAAAAATCGATTTTGCGAAAATGTAAAAGTTAAAAAGAATTGCATGAAACATTTTGATAATAATGCATAAAAATGGAATTCGGAAGATGAAGTTTCTCATTTATTTTGTTTTTCGTATATTAGGATTTAAGGCTATATCAATAAAAAGTTGGTTATATTCACATCACATTTTTTAATAAATATATCACATTTTAATTATATTCAAGGCCATTACCTTTATTTATTATCAGACTTATATCTTTAACTTTTTTTCCTCTTTGCATTCTTATTTTTAAAATTTTATTAATCAAAAATATTGTCTCCAATCAAGATTTTTACCAAAAAAAAGAAAAAATAAATTTGTTGACACGCTTTATAATGAGTGTCAAAAATTTAATCTCTTTTTTTGTATTATTATTAATGTAATTAATTTTGTTTGCTTATTTAAAAATACAATGGACAAATAAGTCTTTTTACTTTATCTTAAAAAAATTTGAGAGAAATCATAATCATGAACAATTTATACTCATTTGAAAGTAAAAATACGATAAAAAAAAGTTTGAGATATAAATGTGATAATATATAAAAGTTATGAACCTTTCATGCAATTAAAATATATTTTAATTGTTAAAAATTGTGGTCTGAATATATTTTGCCTTAGTAAAATGATTATAGAGTATTTATTAAAAATATTTTTTTAATTATTATATATTATAAAATGATAGGATAAACAAAATTATAGTGGAAATATATACCCTTTTATCATTTTCTAAAAAGGATATTTGGCAGTAGTGATTTGATGGTATTTCCCTTTATTTTGTATGTAGGATCATTGAAGGTTTACAAGTCTACTTTAAACTTCTAATTCCAAGAACGATATGGACTGCAAGCATAATTTCTTTGGAAATTTCCCATCACCTACAGGTTCACTCCATATTGTCCATTGTCAAATTAATTTGCCAAAAAATATTTATTTTTCAATATCTTGAAAAATGAGGCAGATTTCTAGAAGAAAGCATCCAAATGAGTCCCATTAAGAAAGTTAGGGATGACAACGGGACGGGGGCGGATCATTTCCCGATTTAATTTTTTTTTTTTTTAGTTTCTGATAATTTATTTTTATTGTCCATATAGTGATGGCAATGGA